ATGGGATTTTAATGTAATCATTAACTGCCATGAGAATTTTGGGGGTTCTCTTAGAAAGTCATGTGTTATTGTTGAATTCAATGATTGTGTGATGGATTTTAAGTTGGATGATCTGAGGTACACAAGTATTCACTACACCTGGAACAATCAAAGCTTGGGATATGCCAATATTGTGAAAAAACTTTACAGAGCATTTACTAATGAAGAGTACTCAAGGGCCTTCTCTATGTCCAATTGTATTTTTCTTCCCCCCCCCCCCCCCCCCCCCCCCGTTTATCAAACCACAACCCAATCCTTATTAGGCTTAGCCCACCCACCCCAAGGAGGAAATTACCCTTCAAATATTTTAATGCTTGGGCATCTAGCCCTCATTTCATGCCTACTGTTAAGCCGATCTAGACATCCTATATTAGAGGAACACCTATGTTTCAGGTGGTGCAGAAATTGAAGACCCTTAAAGGGATTCTTAAGCAAAGATGCAAGGTGGAGATTTCATAGGCATTTGTAGAGGTCAACTAGGCTAGACAAGCTTTCATGTCAATAGCTGCTGGACTCTAATCCTATGGATGTGAGTCTTAAGTTACATGAGAAGGCTCTAATGCAGCAGCTCACTGCACTTACTCTATCTGAGGTGCATTTTATCATGCAAAAATCAAGGATCAGATGGTTGAAGGATGGGGATAGTAACATAACCTTTTTTTTTAGGTATTCAACTCTAAGGCAACATGAGGAAGGTCACATGTTTGACATCAACTAATGGTACTACCATTGACCATGTACACCTTATTAATTATGAGATTGTGTCCCCTTTTAAGACTTTATTGGGCTCTTATCCACCCTCTTATCATGGGATTTCACACTTACAACCACTAATCACTAAAACCATCCCATTGCACTTGCATTCCCTGCTTGTCTCTATTCCCATAGAGGAGGAAATTCAAACATGCTTCTTTTCTCTAAACAAGGAGAAATCACCAGGCCCAGATGGTTATAATGCACACTTCTACCATATTGTCTAGCTAATTGTTGGTAGGGGTATTATTGATAGCATTAAATTTTTTTTCTTAAGTAGGAAGTTGCTGAAGAAAATTAACAACTCATATATTGCCCTAGTCCCTAAAGTACCTGAAGATGCAAGAATTTTCTCTCCCTATTTTCACAGAGTTTCATTACGCTTCAAGAATTTTTCGATCCCTTTTCCGCCCTATTTTTAGTCTATTTATAGACCGTTTCTAGTTTTCTAGAATATTCCTAACTAACTTCTTCCATTGGGCTCATCCTCCAGGCTTTTACAATCATGGGCCTGATGACCTTCAGGGGCCTTCAGCTTCACTCTTCAACATTGGGCCTATCTTATAAAAGCTTGGTTCGGACCCAGGTCAATTACCATACCCATTGTTCATCATGTGGGTTGAATCCAGCCCGTGCCGCCTTTGGTATCCTCAACTGCCCCCATAATCACTCCCTTATTAATTAGGGTGTGATTATTTACTAAGCTAATGATGATTTGACGGCTCAAGGCAATCACGTGGGGCGTGGAGCGGTCGGCCTCGGAATTAATGTTTTTGAAATTTGAATCTCTTTAACTTCCTGACGTCTCGGTTAATATGACCATTTTCCCTTTATAAACCGCTCTTTCACATCCACAGCGTTCCTTGTCGTACATAACACATCTTACTGTCAATCAATCCACAGTCCGTTCTCTCCAGGTAAATCGAATCTTCTCCGGCAAACCAAATCTTCTCCGGCGAATCCTGTGAAAGGTCATACACTCTTAGTTTTCCTTGCAGCATTCTTTGCAGCTCTTAATCCTCTCAAGGTTAGTTTTGCTTCTTTCTTTTTCTTAAAATCCCTGCATACTTCCCCTAGGGATCGTATTCGTTCTTATCATGCCCATAGATTTGGATGTTCTTCGCATGAAACTCCAACTCCCTACCAATATTCATCTTAGGGAATACCCCAAAAGTGTAAATATCAAAACTGGTGCCGGCCTTCTTCCCAGTGAAACCTTGTTTTTCCTTCACCACCTAAACATTATTAGATTCCCTCTACATCCTTTCTTCTGTTATGTATTCAATAGGTTGAATCTTTCTCCTCTCTAAGTTAACCCCAATATTTTTAGGGTTATATCCATTCTGCTGCTTCTGAACCGTGACAGAGGCCTAGATCTTGACTTAATTGATCTTCTCCTTTGTTACAAGGTCAGCAAGATCAGGTTGGAAGATATGTATTACTATTTTTACCCTATCGGGAAAAGATCCATCTGTACGGACAAACTTAAGTCTGAGAAAGGGTGGAAGAAGGGCATTGTTGGGGTTCGGGGGGCTTGGTTTACTCCAGCTGCCAAGGACTACCCTATCCTGAACGCCTTTAGCGAATGCTCTGTTTCCTCTTATAAAAAATTCAAAACCCATAAAACAGACTGCCCTTATGAAACTTGCATCCCTCGCTTCTGTTCCTTTCTTTGCAATTCTTTGGGTATCCCGCAGAATAACGAACTTACATCTGACAATCTTAGCGACATCTCATTCCTCGGCACCACTATGAGTCAACTTCGGATTCCTTCCTTCAGCAGGAAGAAAGATCCTCCCTAGGTTGTTGCTACTTCTGCAGCTGCTTCTTCTTCAGCCTTGGCATCTTCATCTGCCACTACCTCCAACACCACTCCGAACGTAGTGGTCAGCACCACTCCAAACGTAGTGGTTGCTTCTCCAACTGTGACTGCCTCGCCAGCCAACCCGAATGCCACTACTCAAGCCAGAAATTCCTCTGCCATCACGGTATCCGTTTAGGACAATGAGCGTGGGAAAAGACCACTGCCTGACGGTGGGTCCAGTCCTAATGACGTTCATCTAATGAGGAGGATTCAAACTTCTGGGCTGAGCGTGCCTATACCTCCACCGATCAGACCAACCGCTCCCTCTGGGTCCGACATAGCCGCCGCCTCTCCCTCTGGTGAGGTTGCATGGACCCCTCGGTTCGTCCGAGCAGATGGATCAGTGGTTAAACCCAACAAGACCATGTTCAAGGAAGGTCCGACCGTTATGGCCTATTACAGGAATATGTGGTCCCCCAAGGACATCGAGGTGGCCAAATCACTGTCTCAGAAAGAGATATTCAGCCGTTTTCCGTTAGCTGCTATGGAGGTAATTTTAAATCTATCTTTTAGTTGAACTAAATGAATCTTCATACCTTAATTACTTTGAATATACATTCAGCTCAATTAATATTCATGCATTGCTTTGTAGACCCTGTTTAGTATGCTGGCGATGTAGAAGCAGGTTGAGTCATCCACCGCTAAAGCACGCAGGGCCGCAATTATGCTTGATTCGGCAACCAAGGAGAACAAAATTATAAGTACCAGGAACGCTGAGCTGATGGTGAAGCTCAATGATGCTGAAAAAGAGAGAGACACTTTGAAAAAAGAAGCGGACTCCCTCCAGGATGAGAATGATGCCTTTCAGATCGAGAAAAGCATCTGGAAGACCGAGCGTGAAGCACTCAAGGCTAAAAGAGACAATCTTCAACGCTTGTTTCATGACGAACAGGCAGAGCGCATGGCTTTTGAGAAGAGGGCTCTGGATGAGCGCAATGCCTTGCTTGGCGTCATTGGCAAAGTTAATGGCGCAGTGATGGCTCTGCATGGTCACTTCTCCAGGATCGGAGCCCTTAGATATGCTAAAGGGTACAGGGAGGGCTACAGTGACCGCATTCCTGTTGAGGGTCAGACCAGTTCAAGTGCCAATCCTGATGATATTAACAAGGAACTGGAGATTGATCTCTCAGGAGTTTATACTGACCCGGAGTCCATTCCTGCCGAACATATTTTTGATGAATGCCAGGAGATTGCTTCCTCAGGAGTTATTCCTATCCCCTCAGCTACTCAACCCCTGGACGTTCCCCCTCTTTCCACCATGGTTCCTCCTGCACCTACTGCTGAGGGTGGAACCCAACCGTACGGAACAATCATTCAACTTGACTCTCCCCCCCGAGGGGAGAGTACAGCCAATGAAGGTGAAGGGAACTCCGAGCACGGTCAGGAGACCGAAGGTGTAGATAGGGCTGAATAATTACCTACAGATGCATTATCTTCTTTTGTATACTGTATTTATTCCACCAGAACCATCCTTGTAAATGTTTGATGAACATGAGTTTAATAGAATGAAATATTTTTGTCTAATTCTTATTTCATAGTGCTTGTCTCATGGTGCTTTTGAATTATCATTTATCATTTATCACAAGTGTTTGGCGTTCGGCTTGTAGTGCCAATTGCCACTTACTTTGCTAAGTGCCTGGCGCTCGGCTTGAATGCCACTTGCCACTTGGCTTTCTCTCTTTTTTCTTTTTATTTTTAGCAAGTGTTTGGCGTTCGGCTCGTAGTGCCAGTTGCCACTTACTTTGCTAAGTGCTTGGCGCTCGGCTCGAATGCCACTTACCACTTGGCTTTTTTTTTTTTTTTTTAGCAAGTGTTTGGCGTTCGGCTCGTAATGCCAGTTACCACTTACTTTGCTAAGTGTCTGGCACTCAGCTTGAATGCCACTTGCCACTTGGCTTTCTCTCTTTTTTCTTTTTCTTTTTAGCAAATGTTTGGCGTTCGGCTTGTAGTGCCAGTTGCCACTTACTTTGCTAAGTGCCTGGTGCTCGACTTGAATGCCACTTGCCACTTAGCTTTTTTTTTTTTAGTAAGTGTTTGGCGTTTGGCTCGTAGTGCCAGTTGCCACTTACTTTGCTAAGTGCCTAGCGCTCGGCTTGAATGCCCTTGCCACTTGGCTTTTTTTAGCAAGTGTTTAGCATTCGGCTTCATAGTGCCAGTTGCCACTTGGCTAAGCAGGAAGAGTGCTAATCTAAAAAGATTTTTTTTTTTTTTAGCAGAATAAACTTCTTTCATAAATCTCAGGAATCTTGTACATTTGCAAATATGAAAATCATAACGAACGTTGTTCAGAGCAGAATTCAACTTCTACTAGAAGTACTTTTTCAGAGATGTGGCATTCCATGGTTTATTGACCAGCCTTCTTGCCATGGTTTTCAGAACTTATGCCCTCTTTCCTATGGCTTCTGCAACCCTGTATGGACCTTCCCATGGTGAAAACATTTTTTTGACTATCCCCACTTTCTTTTTCAGAACCAGATCGCTGAGGGCAAAGTCTCTATGCTTCACCTTTTTGTTATGGCTATTCACAAGCGTCTGTTGATAAGATGCAAGCCTTATCGCCGTTGTATCTCTCTTCTCCTCCAGCAGATCAAGATTAAACCTTAACATGCTATCATTCTGTTCTTGATTCCAGGCTAAGCTTCTGACAGTTGGGACTAAGTATTTGACTGGTATTACTGCCTCGGTACCGTACACCAAAGCGAATAGGCTCTCCCCGTTAGGCCGTCTCGGGGTTCTGTAAGCCCACAAGACGTTCGGAAGCTCGTCTAACCATTTTCCTTTTTCATTTTCGAGCTTCTTTTTTATACAGGCAAAGATTGTTCTGTTCGTAATCTCAGCTTGACCATTCGCCTGTGGATGGTTAACTACTGCCAACTTCTGATTAATTCCGTACTCTTCCAGTAATTCCCTCACTTGCTTCCTATCGAGATTAGTCCTATTATCCATAACAATTGACCTTGGAACGCCAAAACGACAAATGATATTGCTCCAGATAAAGCGTCTTACTTGAGTTTGGGTCACACTTTGGTACAGATCTGCCTCCACCTATTTGGTAAAGCAATCTGTAGCCAGCAGAACGTATTTGTTCTATGACCTTGCGGTCGGCAGAGGGCTAACCATATCCATCCCCCATTGCGCGAAAGGCCATGGTGTGGCCATTACGTGCAAGTCTTCAGGTGGTTAGTGTATCAATGGTCTGAACCTTTGGCATTTATCGCACCTTCTAGAGAATTCTTCTGCATCTCTTAACATATTCGGCCAAAAATACCCCTGCGTCATTGCTTTATGCGCCAGAGATCTTCCCCCTGAGTGATTGCCACAGACACCCTCATGAATGGTTCGCAAGATCTGTGCAGCTTCCGTGGGGGTAACACATTTTAAGTATGGCCCTAAGTAAGACCTCCTGTACAACTGGTTGTGTACTATGGTGTACTTCGCAGCATTCGATTTGATCTTCCTTACTTCATCCCTCTGCTCAGGAAAAACACCATCCCGTATGTATCTCATAATTGGATCTATCCAGCTTGGCTCATATGGTATGACATTTACTTGCCAAGGATCCGACCTCGATGGTTTCTCAAGTATAGATGGCTGGTACAACACACCAACTAGAACCACCTTTGCCAGAGTCTCCCCAGAACTCGACGCACTGCATTCCAACCGATTGGCATCCTCATTACGCTCCCTTGGCAACTGTATAAACTTAACTTGATCAAAACTCTCTGCCTCGCGCATAACAGCTGAACGGTATGCCTCCATTGTTTCATCGTTGGTTTCATACTCCCCAGTCACTTGCCGAACGATCAGTTGTGAATCGCTAAAAGCAACTAAACTTTTGACCTTTAGCTCATTGGCCAGCTTCAACCCAGCCAGTAGTGCTTCATATTCTGCCTCATTATTGGTCGCCCTGAACTCAAGTCTGATTGTTTGGCTCAAAGTGGTGCCTTCTGGTGTCTGTAACTTGACCCCAATTCTTGCCCCCATCTGATTCAAAGAACCATCAATGAAAAGCTTCCATGAAGAGTCTGCAGGACTTCCCTCCGGCTCTTCCACATCACACTCCAGTAAGAAATCAGCCACAGCTTGACCTTTGATGGCTGTTCTGGGTTCATAAGTTATTTCAAATGAACTCAACTCTATGGCCCACTTTGTTATTCTTCCCGACAGATCTGGCTTGTGTAGGATCGTCCTTATAGGGAGGTGGTCAGAATGACAACAGGGTGGGACTCAAAATAATGCCTGAGTTTCCTTTTGGCATTAACCAATGCCAGTATCACTCGTTCGGCTTTTGAATACCTTCTTCTGGCTCGGCTATTGTTTTGCTAACGTAGAACACCGGAAACTGTTTTCCTTCCTTACAACGAATCAAAACGGCATTTGTAGCAATACTGGACAGGCCGAGGTATATAAAAAGTTTTTTACCTGGCTCAGGAGCAGATAAGATTGGAGGATTCTGCATATACGCCTTCAAGTTGGTCAGTGCCTGTCTTTGCTCATTCCCCCATGCTTGCCTTCCATGGCCTTGTATTGTATCAAAGAACGGCTTACAGCGATCTGACAATTTAGAAATGAACTGACTTAGTATGGCTATTCTTCCTGTGAGTGCTTGCACCTCTCTGACCGTTGTTGGCTCTGCGTTGCTAATCAGAGCTTCTGCTTGGGTTGGGCTGGCTTCAATTCCTCTTTGGTTGACCACGTGTCCCAAGAATTGGCCAGAGGTCACGCCAAATGAGCACTTGGTTGGATTAAGCCTCATTCCATGCTTCCTTAGCACGCTAAACACGTCTTGCAGGTGTTGCAGGTGATCGTCCTTCTTCTTACTCTTTACCACCATGTCATCAATGTATGCTTCCACAGTCTTCCCCATTTGATTTTTGAAAATCTTGCTGATCAATCTTTGATAAGTAGTTCTAGCATTCTTTAGGCCGAACGGTATAACCTTATAGCAATAAGTTCCTCGTTCGGTGACAAAATAAGTTTTCTCTTCATCAATGGGGTCCATAGGGATTTGATTATAGCTGGAGCGCCCATCCAGGAATGTTAGTCGTTCATATCCAGTAGTGGCATCCACCATCTAGTCAATCTTTGGCAACAGGAAGCTGTCCTTTGGGCAAACTTTGTTCAGATTAGTGAAATCAATACATACTCTCCATTTCCCATTCGTTTTCTGCACAACAATGACATTTGAGAGCCAAACTGGGTATTGGACCTATCTAATGAACCCTGCATCAAGCAATCGATCGATTTCTTCAGCAATAATTTGATTGCGCTCTAGAGCGAATCTTCTCTACTTCTGCCTTACAGGCTTTGTGTTTGGATCTACGTTGAGAGAATGACAAGAAACAGCAGGACTGATTCCTGGCATGTCTGAATAGATCCACGCGAACACATTTGCATTATGAGATAAGAAATCAACCAACCCTTATTTTTCCCCTTTTGTAAGTCTTGTTCCCACTCTTGTGGTTTGGTCTGGCTTCTCATGGTCGATCTGTACGTCAACAAGAGGTTCTTCGGTCAAGATCGAAGGCTCATCCTCCCCACTGTTGCTAGGTAGAGGACCCTGTAATTACTATCTGGGGCTAGCAGAACGGATGGGTGCTTTTCCTTTTCCAGCAAACTTCAGAGTTACAGAGTAACATTCCTTGGCAACGACCTGATCTCCATAAATGTCAATCACTTTGTTCCCATCTGTGTCCAAACATCTCATCACTTGATGCAAAGTTGATGGAACACCCTAGACTATGTGGATCCACCCTCTTCCCATTAAGAGGTTGTAGGAGGGATGGATCTCAACGACTACAAATGTCTCTGTCAAAACTCTTTCAGTAGCCTACACAATCAATTCTACCATGCTAATGGACTCCATCCGCTTCCCATCGAACCCCAGCAACGAATTTCCTGTGGGTTTGAGCCTCTCCTGCTTGATTTCAAGCCGGTCAAATGTTACTCTGGGTATGACATTCGCACTACTTCCTGGATCAATTAGAACTCTTCGTACTAGGCACTCTGCTACAATCAAACTGACTACCAGTGGATCTTAATGGTGTTTTGAACGCGTAGCAGGTCCGTTCTGTCAAACTTTATTAGTGCAGATGCGTTCTGCTGATGCAAAACATACACACTGCCAATTTTCCTATTCATTTATGCTTGGCGTAATCGTGTTCTGAGCAGTTCCTCTGACTCTGTTGTTTATTCAGGTCGCCCATGAATTGCATTTATGATCCGAACGGGCTGGGTGCCATGGTTACTCTGCTTCTGAGTTCTCTTGATCTACTTAGCTGGTCGGTTCTGCTCCTGTGCTGGCCCTTGAATATATCCTGCAAATTCCCCCCATTGTGATTAGCATCTCCACTTGCCTCCTTAGGTTCCTGCATTCATCAGTCTGATGACCAAAGTCACTATGGAAAGCATAATGTTTAGATTGATCCCTCTGTTCAAGAGGTTGTCGGATTGGTAAAGAAGGGCAAAACTTATCTTTGTTCTCTTGATACAGCCTTGCCAGAGTAACTTTGAGTGGAGTAACTAACTCTTCCTCTCTGGACCTCTTCTCGGCCTTCCATGAGGTCTGACGTTGTGGCTGAGCTTGTTTTTGCCGGATCTTGGCTTTAGATTTCTTCTCTGTTGAGATAATCGATGTCTTCGCACAAAGCCATCAGGTCTCTCGTTATGCTCGTCCTTGGTCTTTGGCGTATTCACCACCAAGCTTGTGTGGAATGGTGTCCCTCGGTTCATTGCAAGTTTGAACGCTTGAACTACCATGGACAGATGGCATTCCATTACCATGCTCTTGACAAGGTTGAACCTGGTGAGGAAAGTTTCAAGTCGTTCGTCTTCGTGCTGCTTCATTGTAAAGAGGCTTGAAACGTCCTTTGCCGGATGCTTATTCCCGTAGTACTGGCTTATGAACTTGTCACACAAGTCCTGGAAACTAGCAATTGAACCTTGAGCCAGATTCTTAAACCAATTAAGAGGGCTGGACCAGGCAAACTCGTAGGGAAACACTTACACATCAAAGGATCATTGTTCGTGTTCAAAACCATTTTCAACTGAATGTGGTAGATATGATCAATCAAGTCGGTTGTTCCATCAAACAGAATGAAGATCGGCATAGAAAACTTCCTTGGATTTGGAGCGTTCAGGATTTCGTCCGTGAATGGAGATACAACCATTCTTGCAGATGAACGGAGTGCTTCATTCTCCCTTGAAAACCGTGATAGAATCCTCAGATCTGCAGATCTCCTGTCGGAATTTCTGTAATCGTAGGTTGCAATTGAAGGGTGGTAGGGTGGATCGAATGATCTATCCTCCGTGAACCCCCTCTGCCATGGTGACGGAGCTCCATATTGGCCACACTCCATTGCTTTATCTCGCCGCAATCTTCCCTGACTTGGATCAAATGTTGCGGCTTCCTCTCGCATGATTCGTTCGCGGCGCGGATCCTGGTGGATAAATCCCTCCCGATCCTCCATTTGACGGATGTTTGGAGGCAGATCGCCTAGCACCATCTCCTTGCGATGAGGATCCACGCGATGTTCTCCCTCCGGATCATCGTGATGAACAACATTGGGTGGAAAAACTCCTTCTCCTACCAGAGGTGGCCTCGAAATAGCAGGAGCCTCACGACGCTCCACTCCAGCTCATAATTCTACATTTTCTCTTCTCAAGGCTTCGATCATACTCATCAACTCATCGAGCTTCGACTGCTGGCCATTCTCCAATGGATTTGAACTCTCTCCTCCGATTATCATTCTGGATCAGAGCAAAGTCATTAACCGCAAATTTCTGATCAAATCTGAGCTTCGCTAATGCGAATGTACTAGATCTGGACTGGAACTTAGCTGAATTCCGACCGTGATTGGCCGAATCTGAATTGCTCGGGCGACGAACTCGCCAAATTCAGTAATCTCAACAAATCTTAACTGCACAGCTCACTGGAACAAACACAAATCAGAGCTGCATAGATCGAACACCAATCTCTCAAAATCAATTGGAATCGAGATTTGACAAGACAGACCACGAGCACCGATCTTGATTCAGCTTTCAGCAATCAAGCCACTTCTTCACGAACTACTCTGGATCGAATCAATCTGAATCAAACATCAATCAATCCTGATCGCTTCCCACAGACGGCGCGCCATTGAAGATGCAAGAATTTTCTCTCCCTATTTTGACAGAGTTTCATTACACTTCAAGAATTTTTCAATCCTTTTTTCCCCCTATTTTCAGTCTATTTATAGACAGTTTCCAGTTTTCTAGAAGATTCCTAACTAAATTCTTCCATTGGGCTCATCCTCCAGGCTTTTACAATCATGGGCCTGATGACCTTCAGGGGCCTTCAGCTTTACTCTTCAGCATTGGGCCTGTCTTATGAAAGCTTGGTTCGGGCCCAGGTCAATTACCAGGCCCATTGTTCATCATGTGGGTTGGATACGGCCCGTGCTGCCTTTGGTATCCTTAGTACCCAACCCAACAACTCTTAATGATTTCGCCCTATCTCATGTTGTAACATAATTTACATATGCATTGCGAAGCTTATTGCTAATAGACTTAAGCAAGTTCTACCTTCATTAATTGATCCATGCTATAATGCATTCATCAAGGGTAGACACTTTGGGACAGTGTCCTTTTAGCTCAAGAATTATTTCAAGGTTACCGCAATCACCTTGTTCCGCCCAAATGTGCTATCAATGTTGACCTAATGAAAGCATTCGACTCAATTGGGTGGGACTCATACTTGACTCATTAACACTCTTTGGTTTCCAACTACCTTTGTGGATTGGGTTATGGCTTGTATCACTACCCTATCTTTCACCATTTCTGTAAATGGTGAGTTCTAAGGTCACTTTTGTAGGGTTAAAGGACTTCATTGTTAATGATAAGTAAAACAGATAACTCGATAGCTCAGCGGATTAGTGCCTTCGGTGGACTTTAGAGTATCATGGTTCGACTCTCTACATCTACTAATTTAATATCTAATACTTCTTGTCTCGTAAAAAAAAAAAAAAAAAAAAAAAAAAATGATAATTCAATGGACTCTAGAAATATATTAGTGAATAATTATTTAAATATATGAATTAATATTAATAAATTAAAATTTTATCCATTCGGTTATGATTAAAAAATAAATAAATAATAAATAATATTAATTATAAAAATAATAATAAATAATTTTGATGAAATTGCGAATTGAATCCAATCCAATCATATATGTTATTATACGGATCCTATCTATCCCCACGTATCGTGTCAGATTAAGATTTATCAAATTTAGATTAAGATTGATAGGTAATCGGATCGGATCAGTCGCACCCTGTGTTAATCACGCGTGTGACTTTTCAAAGACGACAAAAGCAATTCTTCTAATTTCACAGGTGTTATATTGTGTGTGGATCAATGTTTCTCTTTCTGGTACCACTCCAGTCAAACACTCAACTATGCATACGACTTTCTGGTATTTGTAACATCGCCGGCACATTTTCTATAAAAATTTCAAGAATTGGAGTAATATCTCGTTCTTATTGCTTTCTCACAGCCTGGGGAAAAAGTTGAGAGTAAAAAAAAAAAAAAAATGGCCGAAACCACGGTACGTTTCGGAATCTTGGGCTGCGCTAACATAGCACGCAAGGTATCGAAGGCCATTACGCTCGCGCCCAACGCCACCATCTGGGCCATCGGTAGCCGTTCGATCGAAAAAGCCTCGAGATACGCTGCCGAGAACGGCTTCCCGGCGTCGGCTAAATTGTACGGCAGCTACGAGGCCGTGCTGGATGACCCAGAGGTGGACGCTGTGTACGTGCCACTCCCGACCAGCCTGCACGTGCGCTGGGCAGTCTTGGCCGCCGAGAAGAAGAAGCACGTGCTGCTGGAGAAGCCGGTGGCTTTGCACGTGACGGAGCTGGACACGATCCTTGAGGCATGCGAATCCAACGGTGTGCAGTTCATGGACGCCACCATGTGGATGCATCATCCTCGGACGGCTAAGATGACAGAATTTATCTCAGATAAGCTCCATTTCGGAAAACTCAAATCGGTACGTCTACACACACTCATTTACTTGTTTTATTATTTGTTATTTTTCTTAATTTGATGAATTTAACTCATTTAATTTTCGATCACTAATTCCCGAAAAATTATTGTATGGTGCGGATCAATTACTAATTGCAGTTGACCTTGTTGCCGTATGGGTGTCAATTAGTGATTGACCCGGTACTATCTAATAACTTTTTTTACTTTGGAATGTAAAATAATAAATTTATGTTTTGGTTGATTTATTTATTTATTTTTCAGTCACTTCAAATTGATTGAATTTGTCATATTTTGATTTTTGATATTTGGGGATTTTTTTGGTATCAATCGCTTGATCCTGAAAAGTGAGACGATTTTTTTTTTTTTTTTTTTCACAAAGTGGTTGTTCTTATATCGGTTCGTGAATTCGTGAATCTGACTTCTAGAATCGCATCAAACATTGATCCCTAAGAAATGATAAACATGAGAACAGAGTGTTGTAAATAAACATGTTTTTGGTGTATAAAATGATAACACGGTTTGCATTTCAACAGTTGCGGTTTTGTTCTATTTTTTTATTTTAGTTTTATTATTATTAGTATTATTTTTTATTTTTTTTTGGTTGTCCTGTTTCGTGCTGTCAAAAATTCAAAATTGTCAAATAGTTTGTGTAATGGACGAGACTGAAATGATAGCCTTCTCGCTTATGACTGCATTTCATATTTCTTGGAAGGTCTAGTTTACCATTTGATCTCTGCCACTGTAAAAAAAAATTCTATTAATTATATGTGGATGATGTATAATGAAAACAAATAAGCCACCAATAGCTTAGCAATCACGTTTTGTGCTTCAATTCTTCTCTCTCACGCTAGCTCAATTTTAAGCTATCATTTCCTCTGCATTCTGGGATTGTCCGAAGATGATTATTTTTTATTTCCACAGTTACACACCTCCTTCACATACGATGCTGGCGCAGACTTTCTCAAAAATGACATTCGCGTGAAGCCTGATCTCGATGCTTATGGAGCTCTTGGTGATGCTGGATGGTACTGCATCAGGGCAAGTCTTTGGGCTGCAGACTATGACCTGCCCAAAACAGTAACAGCTTTGCGCGAACCGGACTTCAACGAAGCAGGGGTGATTCTATCATGCGGAGCTTCTCTTTGGTGGGAGGACGGGAGAATAGCAACCTTCTATTGCTCTTTCCTTACCAATTTTAGCATGGACCTAACTGCTCTCGGAACAAAGGGTTATTTGCGTGTTCATGACTTTGCTGGTCCTTTTCAAGAGAATGTTGGGACATTTTTCATAGCTTCGAATTCCAAGTTTGGGGAACGCGCTCTAGGCTGTGAACCGATACCGGGTGAGCACATTGTCACGACCGATCTTCCTCAGGAAGCTCTCATGGTGACAGAATTTGCTACTCTGGTTAATGGTATTAAGAGTAATGGCTTGAAGCCGGAGAAGAAGTGGCCAACCCTCAGTAGAAAGACACAATTGGTTCTTGATGCAGTCAAGGGATCGATCGCCAAGGGTTTCGAGCCCGTTGAGATTGTGAATTAATTAATTGGAGATAATTGTGTGATCACGTACTTGTTTTGCAGGCTGCAGTTTTTATACTACTATTACATTATTGATACTGTAGTGCTTGTACCATGGTTTTGGACTTTGAATGGTTTGCTCAAAATAAATGAACCTGTGCTTTTCGGGTTTGATGAATTTGTAGGCTCTGAAGGATTTCAGAAAAAGAAACAAAAAGGAAAGATTAGAAACATTTGAAAAGATTGTTGTAGGTGATTCGGATTAATCCACGTAAAATATCTTTTTCAAAAATTATTTTTTATTAAAACTTCTTTGAGTAAAATATTTTTTTCTTTTAAATTTTAGGCGTTCGGCAAAGGTCTTGAAAAAAAAATTAGAACTTATATTGGACAACTAAACAAGAAAAAGTATTTTATTTAAAATATTTTTGTTAGCTTTTTATTAAATATTTTATTTAAATTTTGGAGAATTAAACAAGAAAAAAATAATAATTTTAAATATTTTACATCCAAACAACAAGAACTTACCAAGCTTTTCTTTAACGTCTATTTTGCTTGCTTTTGAACACGTTTTTGAGAATTAGGGTTTTTGATCAAAGGATGGGTAAAAGATGAAAACACTTATTGTTGAAACAATAGGGTTTTGAATCAAAGGATGAGTAAAAGATGAAAGCCCTTATTGTTCCAATTAAAACAATCAAACGCTCTAATCTCTCTAGGGTTTGTGGAAGATGTTATATATATAGTAGAGAATCTTTACAATATGTCAAAAAGAGATTTTAAAATCATGCAATGACTAACTTACAAGTTTGGAAAAAATATAAAACTAAAAAGTTGCCGATTTTTCGCAGGCAAATACAACTGGTCTACTTCAAAGTGAAATCGGCTAGAAAAGTGTAACCGGTTCTATTTGTCCCGAGAGTTGATTTTGTGTAAGAAATGCAACAAGTTCTAAATTGATCGAAATGCAACCGGTTGGACATTGTTGAATGTTATATTTCCAACCTAAGCTCTTATACCCGACTTTAAAGATACTCACAAGTGTTCCTCACTCACTAAATGATATTCTCAACGGATTCAACGGTAAGAGGCACTTGCGCTTCAAATTCAAAAAATTGAGACTCCAGATTAAAAAAATATTACAACTCTATCGTCAAATTTTGACTCCAAAATTTGCTAACATTACAAATATATCTCTTATTGAAAGTTCCACTTTAAATCCTTGCCTAAATAATAATAAGGCAAAAGTGTGAAATACTTTACTGGACTTTCAACAAATGAGCAAAATACCCCCTGAACAAAAAAAATGAGCAAGTCACTCATAGTACTTCCAAAATTGAACAACTTGCCCCCTTTGTAGAGACCGCTGATGGCTTTCCAATGATAGTTGTGAAGCAATCTTGCATTACAGACTCCACCATGGAGACCGAGTACGTAGCAGCTTCTCCAATCTTGCATTGCATTGCAGACTCTACCATGGAGGCCGAGTACGTAGACACCTCTTCCATTCCTATGGCAACTGACTCTCCGTCATAAGAGGAACCAATTGCTTATCCTTCTATTTCAAGCACGGGAAGAATTGAGTTTGAAGAAGCACACTTCTATAATGATCTTGCTTGGAAAGCTTATGTTGACATCTACAAGGATAGTCCGAATAAGACTGAAAGGAATGTGAATCTACAAAAGCTTCGTGGTACAGCTGGACAGAAGCTTGTGACATACATTGAGAAGAACAAATGGCTTTTCTTTACCAAGCTCGGTAAAAGCTACTTTTCTTTGGATATGGTACATTATTTTTTGTCAATATTCAAAAGCTTAAGGATACATTCTTCATTGTGTCGCTCTTTGGAATTGATTATATGGTTGATGAAGAAGCCATTCAAGCCATTTTGGACATTCCTGATAGAGATAAGATGACGGGACAAGTATTACCATTGGAAGTCTCAGGTCCAGAATTACCCTGAATTATTGTGTTCCGAATACTCCAAGGAATGAAGATAGTATTCTAGCTCGTTTTCTAACAGATGAAGCGGTGTTCTTCAATTTGTTCGCTATGGCTAATCTGGGATATTTCCAAAAAGGACAAGATCACTCTCGAGCGAGCACATGTTCTATACTTTCTTGCTATAGATGAGCACATACAACTTGCACCATTCATTATGCAGTTAATGATGGCTCATTACAAAAAGAACTTGCATCGCAATTTGATCATCTCCTTTTCTAATGATAATTATGAATTTCTATAAGCTCAAGAATATTCAGATTCCTCCAAGAGCATAACATCAGCGTATTATGACTGAGTTAGACACTCGTGCACTGAATAAGTCCAAATCAGCTAGGGAGAATGCTAGAAAGGCTCAGAGAGATGCTGATGAGGGTTCATCACAGGCTCCAGAGGTTACACAGCTATTTCCTCCCAAAGGAAATTTTTTTAGAGCTGATGCAAACATGATGTACTCTCTTCTTCTTCAGCATCAGACTACTATGTTTGATAGGATGATGGATAAGATATAAGATCTCAAGGTTCAAATGGGACAGCTTAGAGGACAGCAATCAGGAGGTTCTTCAGAAGATGTTTACCAGCCTACACCACCAAATCCATCTTTGAGAGATAAGGATGATGGTGCTGAGTATTCAGATGGGGATAAGGATGAGGATGAGGATGATGAAAGTGGTGAAGATTAGAGTATTGATGACTTACTGACTTTCTGTTTAGGGAGATAATGATGCTGACATTTTTTTTTTTTTTTGTTTATTTCTCATACATCATGACATCATACTTTTATTTAACATGGTCATTACTTTTGGATATTAACTTATATGTTTAAATGACATGTTTAACTGAATTAATCTATTTCTCTTGTTTCTCTCTACTCTGCCATTATATTCGTTGTCAATTTGTTCCAAAAAAGGGGATAACAATGTTATTTTCAAGGGGAGTAATTTGAAAGATAATTGGATATTTATTTAAGGGGGAGTTTTTATAAATTTATTTGTTAAACTTCATTGTTAGTTTTCCTTGATATTGTGCAGGAAATCAGGTTAAATCGTTTATCCAAGAAAAGAAGAGAATAGAGATAAAATTTCGTGTTTTCTTTTGAACAAAATTGTAATTTACTTTTCTGCTTGGGTAGATTGTTTAAATGTTTTTAGGTTTTTGTCACAAAATTACCAAAGGGTGAGATTGTGAAATATAAATTCTATAATTGGCAATTATCGTGAACAAAACAAGTCTTGAGTTATGTGACGGCTCGAATTTCAAAGAACCCGATGCGTCAGCGAGAAAACAGAAAACTAACCCTATAACGTGTCCCAAATGCGGAAGTAAGAAAAAGAGAAGAGGTCTCTAGAGATGGACACCACCTCTAAGACGCCAAAGTGACCTCCCGAGAAGTCACGAGACTCAAAAAAGAAACAAATGCAAAAGCTAAGATTTAAAAACGGACAAGAATGCCACTAGGGGTAAAATGGTCATTTAAAATAGAAATGGATGCTACCATGCATACCATTGGATAGGCAACAAAAAATTAATAAACTTAGACTTAAAAATCACTTGATTAGGAGTTCGAACGAAAAAGATATGAAATTCCAAAATTTTACAAAAAATTGCCAAAAATGTGCATAGGTGTGATCGGTCGTAAAATTTACGAACGATGAAGGCTAAAAAATTGGTTCCAGGTGTGATCGATCGCACTAAAGAACGATTAATCATAAAGGGTAAATTTTTGGCCTAAAAATGAGATGCCCAGGTGCGATCGATCGTAAGGTCAACAAACGATGGAAAAAGTGAAAAATTCATATCGATCGCAACTATTTGTGACCAATCGTGATGGATCACAATCGATGGGCAGCAACCTGAAATTTTTTGAAAATTTTGAAATTCAAGGGGTAAATGGGACTTTTTGGGAAAAGTTTTTGAAGCAACCCCTATCCAAATGTGATTCTAATGTCAATTATGGTCCAAACCAAGAATAAAAAGCGAAGTGAAATGATGAAAATGCCCCCAAGTGCATGCAATACCAAAGAAAGAAAAACATGTTATAAAATGAAATACTTTGCATACTTTAAAGTGCTTGGCCCTTGGCCTCATTACACACAAGTTAAATTACACCAAAAGAGAATGTTTAAATACAGATTACACACCCAAAAGAGGAAACAAAGCATGCTTCTAATTACATTACACATTGTCAACTTCAAAAGACAACTATATCATGCTAACACTAGCATGCCAAAAATATACAAAACATGTTCAAGATGTAAATACAAGCCGAGCTATAGATGGTTCGCATCCAAAATGAGTGTCTCCTTGCCTGAAAAACAATAATCAACTAGGGTGAGTAATCAAATTACTCAGTAGGATGATGTGTATGTGTATACCTTAAAGTTTCAATGGTTTTTTGCAAGTGTAATATAAATAAACACATGTGGATTATGCCTCCTAATGTCTAGTTTCAAAGGGAAGCTAAGGGATCATTCTAAAGCTATATTTGGAACATTTTGAAAGCATTCCACAATAGGTAACATACTTAACGATATTGGAACATCCAATGAAAAACAACAAGTACTGCATTTGAACAATATTGGAACATCCAATGTAAAACAACAAGTTACAGTCACAAAGTAATGTCAACTTGGAAAATGAAACGTGAAATCAAACAATAGGAATATCTTGGACACGGTATCTCGTTATGAACATCACAACCAAGACAATTAGTTGTTTTGGGCTACTAACCCGCAAGGAACTACCTAAGTACGTACTATTTTGGGAAGAACTCGTACCTCCCGCACTAGAGTCATACTCTAGCCATGTCACGAAACTAATGTCCTAAGTATTTCCAAAACCAATAATAGTGTCACAACAACTATATAGGTGTACAATGCATTTAACCACCTTCGAATGCACATCCAATATTTGAAACCACACAAACCATACTTTAAGTCTTCAAGCTACAATGGCATTTGCAATGTCAAGTTCACAATGTGAATACAACTATGTTACTATAAGGTTGTCAAATTAGGAAATCCATTCATACTAACATAGTAAACCTCAAATCCTTGATTTAAACAACAACATAGTAATAATTTCACAACATAGTTGTTGGCAAGAATCATTCTAGAATTTAATAGTTACAACAACAATATATTACTAGAATTTAATTTTACACCAAATGAAATAAC